ATATTATTAATAAGTATTTCGTGCGCACATTAAACTTATTGCGTGGCCACGAAATACTACTTCGTGCCCACGAAATACTACTTCGTGGCGACAATTAAAAATTTTTTTTGACCATGTCATCAGAGGGGCTCCGTATTAAAGAGATATATCATACAAACTTTCATATTTTCTTACTGCTCCAGTTAACTTATCTTGAAAACTATACAATACAAAACATCTGCAATAGAGGGAAAAAAAAGAAAGGAAAATCATCTCCACATCTTCATTCTCAGCTAAGCTCATCTAAATCCTGACCAATTGCACAATTGTTCTTGCGTCGACGGAGAGGCCAGAATATATTTATATTTTGTCTCCAGTGCTGCAGGAGCAACATCAAAGTTGTCCTCTCTAATGGTGTACTTAGCGACCTTTAATTCAGCTAAAATGCTTTTCATTAACTTTTAAACCTACAACATGTGACATTATGATTTTAAGCTTAAAAAAAAACGTATTTTAAAGCTATGAAAATAGAAAAAAATATGTTATTTACTCTGGTAAATTGTTTTTGGAAATTTTAAATTTGTAAAAACATACTGTGAAAAAAGTGTATTTTTTTTTAAATATATCTGGTTTCAACAAGCAGTTATTAAATGGAGTTATCTAACATGAATCGTCAAAGGCGCAAAATATAGATGTAGATTTAAAGATGAAGACATGCGAAATAATAAATAACAGAGGTTTTTCATCATTAATGAAAAGGATGACCTATTCAGCATGCGATCCTTGTGTGTACTGATTGGCCAGAGCTAGTCTGGCAAAGTAAGAAGACTTTCATGCAAAAGATCCAATGTGAATGGGAAGTGGCTCAGTGTGCCTCTTGTTTACGGACAAACAGAGAGAAGTTTCAAGTCTTTTGTGGGGGTGTTTCCTAGATGGATGGGATGGCCCTATGAAAGGAGATGCATGCATAGCCGGATACTGCGAGTGAAAGGAGCGGTTATTTAGGAGAGGAGCTAATTGAGAGTGTTTTTTGAGAGAAAGAGTGGGGACACTGTGTGAGTAGGAGCAGCTGTTGAGGTAACTTGGTTACTGGTGCAGAGAGCGGTTGGAGGAAATTCATGAGCATAGTTAAAATTATTTACTGCGTTAGAACCCATTTCCTGGATGGTCAAAGTTGAGTTTAAAGTTGGCATTTTTTTAAAAGAGATCCTATTTCTTTTTTTTTTTTAATCAATGTATACTGTTTTTTAATCAGACACTACAAAGCACCTTATTTTTCCATCTAAGTTTCAGTTGTTCCTTTAAACTCTTTCTATGATTCTGTGAGAGCAGCAACACTTTGCCCATTTGCTGGACTTTCAACCCCCGTCTTTATAGTGGGTGTGCATTGGGGGTGTGTGTGTAAAAAGCATTGTAGCTGACCAACAGAGCAGAAGTAAGATGTGTTTTGTTAGTTGTCTGAAGCCCAGGGGACCGGAACCCTGTAAGCTCCCCCCATATTATGCCCTGGGTTTAGAAAAACTAAATCAGTTTGTTTCACATAATGTGACTCAAAAAGCAAGAGTGTTGTGTATACATTTTATATTTTTGATGGCAGGAGTTCATTGAGATGTTTTTTGACCTCCGTTATCATTCTATGTCTGGTGCCTTTAGGTTTTAAATAGGACCCAGTTTTAAGCAAATATAAAATGATTTCAAATATTCAAAAGCTGCAGTTTTGTTACGCAAAGCCAGACAAACAAAAATGGATGAAAATGTATTTCAGATTTTTTTTTCTGTTTGAAGGCAATGGCTTTTCTGCTAGGAAGATAATGTGAACGCTAGATATTTCTTACATTAAAACTCAATGATTAATAGAGGTTTTATTTTGTCAATTACTTTCTTTTGAACATTTTGTCAGACTCAAATCCTCTTGTTCTAGTACTTTTCATCTTATGATTTTCCAGGACTGAATTGCCAGGGCTAGTTGTCTTAGCAGAAACTCCCAGACTTCCCTTATTTTAGAAACCTCCTCCAGCTCTGCTGGGGGAAGCACAGGCCTTCCCTGGCCAGTCCTAGGCCATACCATGTGCTTCCTCCAAGTCACACATGCTTGGGACACCTATCAAGGGAGGAATAC